AGCTTTAGCTTAAAGAGGATCCCATAGGGGCTGATTTCTTGACAGGAACTGGATACTAGATAAGGAGGCAGTGGGATGCAATGATATGACTTTAAGACTTGGAGCCCAACAGATATGGTTTTGAATCCCTGTATTGCCATGTACTCACAAATTGACCTTGACTAAGTGCTTTTCCCTCTGTGAAACTAGGCTTTAGAGATAAAACACTCTGCCTTTTGGAGTTATGGGATTAGGTGAACTGCATATTCAACCAAAGTAACTTTCTTTCAAAACTCTAAGAAGGAGATAAGCATTCATACATGCTGGAGGCTGTTGTCTCACTAATGTCCTTGATTTGTTACTAGTGGTTTAGCCATTCTGGATACCTTGGTGGCAGAATGGAGGTGCTTTTCTGTTTTAACATCTAAACTATTCTGTCACTGAAGAATAAGGGTTAATTAATTGTGTAAGTATTTAAGGTTAAAAGGGATCCATCACCAGTCCAGCAATATCAAAGGCCAGTGAATAGTTATTGTTCATTATCATCTGAATGGTACCCAGCCTTGGGATTAACAGACTTCATTAGGATTTGTTTAAGGATTCAGTCCCTCTCAATTACCTACTCAATGACTAGACCCTGCCTCTTGATGCCAGTGAGTCTTTCAAGGGCCTTGATCTGGACAGGATTTTCAATTTGGTTTTCAGTGAGCTGTTCCACTCCCTCATCCCCCCAACTCACAACCAAAGTGACCATAGGCCAAACAGCTTTTATTTGGCTGGCTTAACTACTACATGAAAGAGCACTAGAGTCCCTCAGTTCTATTAAAATAATTAATTAGTATCTGCTCTGTGTGAAGCACACACATACTTGGAAGTTATTTACCAACTAGTAGGAAAGGCAGATAGGATACCAAAAATTGCAACATGCTTGACTTACCAATGGTGTTAATCAAGATGAGGACAGTGGGCTAAGAGAGCCCTGAAGAAGATGTCACCTAAAGTGAATCTCAAAGGATAAATAGATATTCTTTGGATATAGGAGAATGGAGATATTAGAAACAGAGGAAATAGCATGAAGCAAAAATATGGAGATCTGACATAGCATAATATAGCCAGGAAACCTTATCTAGGAAGTGTAGTATATGTGTCAACATTTTAGGATTCAGTAAATTAAAATGGACAGTTAGGGGTAAATTTAATTCAGATGACCATTATGACTATTTGGGGGCACAAATCCCTTAGAAGAAATGGAGTAGCCCTCATAGTCAACAAAAGAGTCCAAAATGCAGTACTTGAGTGCAGTCTCAAAAATGACAGAATGATCTTGGTATATTTCCAAGCAAACCATTCAACATCACATTAGTCCAAATGTATGCCCCAAACACTAATGCCGAAGAAACTGAGGTTGAACGGTTCTATGAAGACCTACAAGATCTTCTAGAACTAGCACCAAACAAGGATTTCCTTTTCAGCATAGGGGACTGGAATGCAAAAATATGGAGTCAAGAGATACCTGGAACAATAGGCAAGTTTGGCCTTGGAGTACAAAATGAAGCAGGGCAAAAGCTAACAGAGTTTTGCCAAGAGAATGCACTGATCATAACAAATACCCTCTTCCAACAACACAAGAGACAACTCTACACATGGACATCACCAGATAATCAATACTGAAATCAGACTGATTATGTTCCTCCCAGCCAAAGATGGAGAAGTTCTCTATAGTCAACAAAAACAAGACCTGGGGCTGACTGTGGTTCAGATCATGAACTCCTTATTGAAAATCAGACTAAAATTGAAGAAAGTAGGGAAAACCACTAGACCATTCAACTATGACCTAAATGAAATCCCTTATGATAATACAGTGACAAATAGATTCAAGGGATTAGATCTGGTAGACAGAGTGCCTGAAGAAATGTGGATGGAGGTTTGTAACAATAAACAAGAGGTGGTGACCAAAACCATCCCAAAGAAAAATAAATGCAACAAGGCAAAATGTTGTCTGAGGAGGCCTTACAAATAGCTGAGGAAAGAAGAGAAGCAAAAGGCAAAGGATAAAGGGAAAGATACACCCATCTGAATGCAGAGGTGCAGAAAATAGCAAGGAGAAAAAAGAAGGCCTTTTTAAATGATCAATGGAAGGAAGTAGAGGAAAGCAGTAAAATGGGAAAAAACTAGCGATCTCTTCAAGAAAATTAGAGATATCAAGGGAACATTTCATGCAGAGATGGGCACAATAAAGGACAGAAACTGCAAGGAACTAACAGAAGCAGAAGTGGTTAAGAAGACATGACAAGAATACACAGAATAGCTTTACAAAAAGTGGTCTTAATGATTTGGATTACCACAACGGTGTGGTCACTCACCTAGAGCCAGACATACTGGAGTGTGAAGTCAAGAGGACCTTAAGAGGCATTACTATGAACAAAGCTAGTGGAGGTGATGGAATTTCAGCTGAGCTTTTCCAAATCCTAAAGGTGATGCTGTTAAAGTGCTTCACTTAATGTGCTAGCAAATTTGGAAAACTCAGCAGTGGCCACGGGCCTGGAAAAGGTCGGTTTTCTTTCCAATCCCAAAGAAGGGCAATGCCAAAGAATGTTCAAACAACCTCACAGTTACACTCCTTTCACATGCTAGGAAGGTAATGCTCAAAATCCTTCAAGCTAGTCTTCAGCAGTACATGAACAAAGAACTTCCAGATGTACAAGCTGGATTAAGAAAATGCAGAACAGTGATCATATTGCCAAAAACTGTTGGATCGTAGAAAAAGCAAGGAAATTCCACAAAAACATCTTCTGCTTCATTGACTACTTGAAAGCATTTGACTGTATGGATCACATCAAATTGTCTAAAATTCTTAAAGAGATGGGTGTACTCTGGTATACACACCTTACCTGCCTCTTGAGAAATTTGTATGCAGTTCAAGAAGCATCAGTTAAAACTGAACATGGAACAATGGATTGGGTCATAATTGGAAAATGAGTACATCAGGGTGTATATTGCCATCCTGCTTATTTAACTTATATGCAGAGTATATCATATGAAATGCTGGGCTGAATGAATCATAAACTAGAATCAAGATTGCTAGGATTAATATCAACAACCTCACATATGCAGATGATACCACCCTTATGGCAGAAAATGAAGAGGAACTAAAGAGCCTCTAGATGAGGTTGAAAGAGGAGAGTGAAAAGGCTGGCTTAAAACTCAACATTCAAAAATTAATATCATGACACTTGGTCCCATCTCTTCATGGCAAATAGATGAGGAAAAAATGGAAACAGCAGTGGATTTTATTTTCTTGGTCTCCAAGATCACTTTGGATGGTGACTGTAGCCTTGAAATTAAGACAGTTGCTCCTTGGAAAAAAAGCTGTGACAAACCTAGACAGCATCTTAAAAAGCAGAGTCTGTATGTCCACGCTATGGTTTTTCCATTAGTCATGTACAGATGTGACAGTTGTACCATAAAGAAGGCTGAGTACTAAAAAACTGATGCTTTCAAACTGTGGTGCTGGAGAAGACTCTTGAGAGTCTCTTGAATGGCAAGGATATCAAGCCAGTCAATCCTAAAGGAAATCAACCCTGAATATTCATTGAAAGGACTGATGCTGAAGCTGAAGCTCCAATACTTTGGCCACTTGAAGGGAGGAGCTTACTCATTAATAAAGACCTTGATTCTGGGGAAAATTGAGGGCAGGAGGAAAAGCAGGTGACAGAGAATGAGATGATTGGTTGGCATCACTGATTCAATTAACATAAATCTAAGCAAACTCCAGGAGATAGTGAAGGACAGAGAAGCCAGACTTACTGTAGTCCACTGTAGCCTACCATAGACTGTAGCATACAGGCTTCTCCATCCATGGGATTTTCCAGGCAAGAGTACTGGAGTGGGTTGCCATTTCCTTCCCCAGGGGATCTTCCCAACCCAGGGATCGAACCCAGGTCTCCCACATTACAGGCAGATGCTTTACCCTCCGAGCCATCAGAGAAGCCCAGTTACTACAGTCCATGGGGTTGCAAAGAGTCAGATACCACTTAGAGACTGAACAATAACAACATATGGGTGTTATATGTCTGCATTTTTTAGATGGAGCCTCCTGGAGAGGTCATTATAATAGTAAATCCTTCTAATTAAATATTTCCAGGATACCTTTCTAACACAAGTTAGCTCTATTTCACAACCCTCTGAGATGGATACTATGTTCATAGTGGGGAAGCTTAAGCCCAGAGAGGTTTGGTCACCAATATTCACTGTTGCACATCTAATGGGTGACAGTGTTGGGATTCAAACCCAGGTCAGCTTCAGAGCCCAGACTGTGCATTGAGATTGGAAGTAGGTGTAAAGTTACTGAAGAGTTTAATTGCTACTTTAAGGACAATTGGCAGTGTCCTATAAGTAATAGGAAGCCACTAAAGGTAATTTAAGTAAAGAACATAATTAAGGACCAGAAAATTTTGGATTACAGGCCCTTCAGTAATCAAGCTAACTGATTATGGCTTCAGCCAAATCTCTTTCATTCACTGGATCTCTATTTTCTCGTCTATAAAGTAAGGGCAATGCAAAAGTGCTGTTCTTAAGGATCTCTTTTGGTTCTTAGAGCTCTTTGCCTCTTAGCTAGAGCTGAGGAAGAGACTAGATTCTTGACTGATAAGAGTGGTAGGCACTTTCTCTCTGTGCTTTTTCTTTATATATGTTTTGTACATACTGTAACTCTTGCTCTGGAGTGCTATCTTGCTTCTCACCTGTCTTTCCAAACACTATAGCCATCTACTCCCCTTCTCAGGACTTGTACAGTGCTACGAACTAAGTTAGCTATGTTTCACTTTGGCCTCTAATTATGTACTATCTTGTATTCTTTGCTAGTTGCTTTCTTTGTAATCTTTTCTTACCATTTATATTTTGGAACTCTCCTTTTCTTTTGCTTTGTAGTTTCTCTTACCCCCTAAAGCATCTAACACAGTTTTACTTACAAGAGAGTCTTGGAAAAAATCTTCTTAATCATTTTCTTTCTCTTCTGGCAGTGTGTGTGAACACAGCAAAGAGAATCTTATGACCCCCTCTAACATGGGGGTGATCTTTGGGCCCACTCTCATGAGAGCTCAGGAGGACACTGTGGCTGCCATGATGAACATCAAATTCCAGAATATTGTGGTGGAAATCCTAATTGAGCACTTTGTCAAGGTATGTATTTCCTGTCCTCACCATCATTCCTCCAAACATGTGACACTTTCCCCTAGCCAGTTTTTAAAGCTGTGTCTTCTCTCTGGCTCAAGTTACAATGGAAGGAAATTCCATATGATACAGTGACATTTACTAGCATTGCTGACCTTGTGAAATTCATTTATTCAACAAACATTGCTTGAGCATTCAACTATTTTGTTGTCACACTCCATGCAAGAATGTATAGAAGAAGAAAAGCATCACAGTTCACACCTTTAAGGAATTGATAGTATAATATAGAGACAATTATGTAAACAAAGGAAAGTGATAGGTGTAAAAATGGTATGTGTACAATCAATTAAACCATAAAGAAAGCAATATTTATGCTTATTTAAATCTCATCACATTCTGAAAGAATTTAAGGTGTTATATTTTATGGTATGTAAAATATGAGGTAGTGTACATTATAATTAGGTCAAATCAAAAATGAAAAATAATGATACAGACAGAAAATAAACCCAAGGATGAAGCTAGACAAGAAATACTTATTGACAAGTCATATACACTTGCTATGAATGACCCTACATTTGACTCTTAGCTTTCTAGCACCCAGTACCCTCTTAGCAGAGCACAATTCAATAAAAAATTTCTTTATGGGGAGGGGACTGGAGATACAGTCCAGGTGGTATGTACAGTTCAAATCCAAGATCTTAGGATAGGATACATTAGGTAAGATACATAGATTAAGCTGCTAAGACACCACAACAGCTTTAAGACATTTATTTATTGGTTCTATAATGGTTCAGCAAGTTGGTCCAGGCCTGATATGGTGATTTGACAAGGACTATAACCCAGGTTACTTCTTTGTTGTCCTGTCATCCCTAAGGTGCTGCTTCATGTACATGACCAAATATCTTCTACATTATATCAACTGGGAGGGCTGAAAGAAAGGAAGTGGAGTATATAGCTGTTTCCTTCAAGGCAATGACCTGGAAGTCTCACATATTACTTTCATTTACATACCATTTATCAGAACTTAATCTCATAGTCACATCTAGCTATAAGAGAAGCAGGGAAATTTAGTTTTTATTTGGGGCAGCCTTGTGTCCAGCTAAGACTTTAGTTTTTGGTTTTTTTTTTTTACTAAAAAATAGAGAATGGATTTTGGAGAACAATTGATATTCTCTGCCATATTATCTTTGTTACATTAAGCAATGTAACTTCTCTGGTAGTCATTTTTTTTTTTTTCAGCTGAAATGTGAAGGTGATAATAAACACATGCTGTGTGATAGTTGGGCTTCCCAGGTGGCTCAATAGTAAAGAATCTACCTGCCAATGCAAAGCTGCAGGAGACTCTGGTTCAGTCCCTTAGTCAGGAAGATCCCCTGGAGGAGGAAATGGCAACCCACTCCAGTATCCTTGCCTGGGAAATATCATGAATGGAGAGACTGGTGGGCTACTGTTCATGGGGTAGCAAGAGTCAGACATGACTGAAGCAACTGAGCATGCACCCACATGTGATAGTTACATGCCCCAAACTTAGCTAGTGACAAACCTGGAATTTAAATCCAAGTACCTGGCTCGGAATTGAAGTATTTAATCACTATGCTGTGCTGCCTCACCAATCATTTTGGTACAGTTGTATTACTGGGTATATACAGGGCACTTTGGGTTTATCAAGGATGGGTACTTGCAGAGAAGTATAACCTATGTCAGTATTTAAAGTGGGAAAGAAAGGGAAATAGGGAAATTAAATTTCCAGGAGATGGTTCAGCATGAACTAAGGCCCAAGGGCCTAAAATCCCTAACCATTTTATATTATTGGATTATGAAATGGAAATAGGAGTGGCAGGAGATGTGATTGGAGGCAGTCCTAAAAGGACTAGACTTTGATTCATTAAGGAGTTTGGAATGTTTGAAATAGTTCTTGCAAGTGATAGCTTGTGATGAAAGATGTTGGATTCTGATCTCCAAAGAAGATTTAGCTTTGGGACCAGGGACCAGGCTTGATCACTCAAAAGCTTTTGTGTAGCAGAGTTTTATTAAAGTGAAAAAGAGAAAGAGAAAGTTTCTGACATAGACGTCAGAAGGAGGGCAAAGAGTACCCCCTTCATTAGTCTTAGCAAGGGAGCTACTTTTTAATTGGTTATTACAATAAATCAAAAGAATGTCTTAAGGTTGTGAAGATCTTACTAGACCCACTCCCACAACTTACATTTTAAGATGACAGGATTAGAACTAACAATAGAAATATCTAACCAGACCCACTCCCATAATATACATTTTAAGATAATAGGATTAGTCAGAAGGTTTTCAACAGGAAAAACTGTTCTCAAGCAGGATACATTATTGTTATATAATCTTTAGTACAGAGTTTAAGCTGAGTTGTTTTGTTATGTAATTATCAGCTCTGGGCTTAAAGAAAAAAAAAAACATGCGGCTAAGTAAAGTAGAAAAAAAAAGTTTGTCCTTTCCTCCTCTTTGAGAATTCCAGACCCCTATCTCCTTCTTGAGAGCCCCAGACCCCTTTCTGCTCCTTGGGGACCCCGGACTTCTTATTAACTGGCCTAGGAATTGACTCTCTCACAAGCTTGGGAAAGCCTTGCTTCAAACTTAAGTAATATGATGAATAGACTTACATTTGGGATACTGTGTGGATGGGGCTGTACTTCATACATATAAGAAATACCGAATGAAAAAAATTTGGAGTGATGGAGAAAAAGCTCAATTTGGGCCATATTGGATTTGAGATTTCTGAAATATATCCAGAGATCAATATCTTAGGAGTAGTTGACTATGAATCCAAAGCAGGAATTGACAAACTTTTTTTTAATTAATTTATATTTTTATTGTAGGATAATTACTTTATAGATTTTTGTTGTTTTCTGTCAAACCAATAAAATTCCATTGGCAAAACTGGGAGCAGACCTGTGAGCTGTAATTTTCTAACTCATGGTGTAAAGTGCAAATATCATTTATTGATTAACTGGATTGGTTCATTCATTCAGAAAATATGTATTGAGAACCCACATTTGCCAGGTATTGTTTTAGGCACTGGAGATACAACCTTTATGTAAATTAGAAAAGCAGTGTCCATGTAAGTAAAATATATAGTATATTAAATGGTGATGAGCATTTAGATGAACAGTAAAGCAGAAAAGGAGCATAGGAATGGTTGAGAGGAGTGATTTTCAAATTTTAAATAGAGTGCCCAGGAAGACCTCATTGAGAAAATGACATCTGAGAAGAGACCCACAAGAAATAAAGGAATAGTTCATTCAGGTATCAGCGGAGAAAGCATTTTAGGTTGAAGAAATGTTAAGTAGAAAATCTCTGAGGCAGAAATGTGCTTATCATGTTCATGGTACAAATACGAGGCCAGATTGGCTAAAATGGATGAATCAAAAGAAAAAAAAGAAGAATATAGGTTCAGAGAGGAAATAGGGAGGGAGAGCTGAATAGATCCTATAGGGCATTAGAAACCATTGGAAGGAATTTGACTTTGCTATCTGAGTAGGATAAAATTAGGTTTTTGACTAGAGAAATGACATGATTTGACTTAATAGGAATATTCTGGATGCTTTGTGAATAACAGCTGTAGGGGAACAAGGGTAGAAGCAAGGAGACTGATTAGGAACCTGTTTCAATACTGGAAACAAGAAGTGGTTTGTACCTCATATGATGGTGGTACAAACAGGACATGGTGAGAAGTGGTTAGATTCTGAATAATTTCGAAGGCAGAGCTGTCAGGACTTGCTGACAAATCACATATGGAATGTAAGAGACAGAGAGGAGTCATTGATCACTTCAAGGTTTTATATTTTAGCAACTGGAAGGATGAAGTTGCCATTTTACTATGATGGATAGGCTGAGAAAGGAGAAGAATTGGGAAAAAAAAAAGAGCACGAGTTCAGTTTGGGACAAGTTATGATAGGGCTGTGAGACCTCTGAGGTCAGATAGGAGAACAAGATTAGGGACATACATTTGGCCTTTTATAGCACAGAGGCAGTGGTTAAAACCATGCAAGCTAATAGTCTTGCCTAGTGAATACTTGAAGCAGGAGAATCAATGTTAGACCAAAGATTGAAACCTAGGGAGTGCCAATGTTTTAAGGGCCATTAGAAGAGACCACAAAATAAATTTTTAAGAAAAGAATGTTCAGTTACAGGAGAATGAGGGGCTAGGGAGTCATAGACTCCTGGAAAGGAGATCATTTTTGGAAGGAAAGAGTGGACAGTGGTTTCCATTTCCCAAGACATGTCATGTAAGACAGGTACTGAAAAGTATCTACTGTTTTTTAAGTGTTTTTAAAAAATTTAAATATAAGCAATACATGGTAAATATTTCCAACCATGAAGAAAGTGTAGAATAAAAGACAGTTCCACCCTTTACCTATTCTTAACTCCTAGTTCCATTTGTCATTTCAATAATTTCTTCTTTGTCATTCTGTCAAAGAAAAACAGTACATATACACACACAAATGTATTAATATGCATATTTTATTCCTCTACTTGAAAAGGTTAAAAACACTAGACACTATATATAAAACCAACACAAAACAGAAACAGACTCATAGACTTAGAGAACAAATTTATGGTTAATTGGGGAGTAGAGTAAAGGGCAGGGATAAACTGGGAGTTTAAGACTGACAAATACACACTGCTATATTTAAAACAGATAACAACAAGGACCTGCTGTAAAGCACAGGGAACATTGCTCAATATTCTGTAATCTAAATGGGAAAAGTATTTTAAAAATAATAGATACATGAGTATGTATAACTGAACTGCCTGAAACTAACACATTGTTAATCAAGTATGCTCCAATATAAAATTTAAAAAAAATTGAAAAAAAAAAAGACTCTGAAATTTGAAGGGAATAAGGCACACCAGACTAGCTATGGATCCTGGGACCTGAAGAATGATGGGCCCACAAGTCATCAGAGATTTGTTTTTGCCTCATGTTTCCCAGATTGAGTAGTGTAAAAGCTGACAACCTAAGAACATCAATGGGTATAGTC